AGGAAATAAAAGAAAAGTCCATTGCATTTGCAGAAAATCTCATTTCTCATTTTCCTATCATCATATTTCTTACTCATCTGTTTGTGTCCAAGAGAGCCACTCACAGTGAATGTAGAAATTTAATGTCATTCGTTGTTATTGAATTTGTCGATGACAATCGTAAAACAGAAAGGAATGAATGTGGAGAAAATAAAAGGGAAGAATGGGATCAAATTGAAGATATTTTTTCAAGGAATTGAGAGATTGTTGAGTCAAGGGGTGTGTGCAGTAGGCAGGGAGTAGGCACTGAACAAGGAATTGACACTAGAGTCTAGTATTTTCAAAACTTTTTGAGTCGTGCACAAGAGTTAATCCATAACCAAAGTCACACATAGCATGCGGTTTGCGTCATTTCTGCTGTAGACTAGTGTGCCGTGGCACACAGTTTTTACAGCACTGCACTAGACAGAGAATTCGAAGAAGATGGGGGCTTGTTACTATGCAGGGGACTGAAATTGGGAAGGGGATTGTGACTCAGGAGGGGATTATTGCTAGACATGGGTTTGGAACTTGGCAGGGGTTTGAGACTAGACTGAGGATTAGAACTAAGTAGGGGATTGGGACTAGATAGGGAATTAAGACCAGTGCACAATGATTCAGATTCGGAAAAAATGTTCAAAAATTCCTTGTGCACAATATTTTTCCAACACATTAGAAAATTGAAAGTTTTTGTTAATTTCTCTTGATTTGAATCTTTTAGCATCATCTACATAATGTTTTCGTTCATTGCTCAAAAAATTAGTCCCTAATATAAAGGATAAACATGATTTTTTACCAAAAGTTTGTAAAAGTTTATCAAAAAATATTGTGCATGATCAAATTTTGTATGAAAATTTATGTAAACTTTGATCGCAAATATCTCGAAAACGGCATCAAACGGCATGTCCTCAGTAATATGGGAGATAGATTTTAACTTAATTAATGGATTTATATAGGTTTCAGAGAGGTCTTTGGAAGACTTTTTAACTTATGAATAGTTTAAGTAGTGTAAAAATACTCAGATTTCAATTCCATTTTTAAGGCTTAATACGCAGATTTCTATTGAGTTGGTTGTTTTAGTATGTAAAGCTAAGCTTAAATTAGCTAGTAACTGCTTCCAAGACATCCAAATAACAACTTAAAGTAGAAAAAATCATATTTTTTTTTTCATACACAAATTGTAAACAAATTTTGGGTGAGATTAAATTAATGATTTCTGGAGTTAGACATCAAATTGGGACGAGCTATTTTCATAGGATATGCCTCAAGTTAAGATCTTTAATCTGGCATTTAAAGGACATAGTTTAATTAACATGAAATTTTTGAATTTTTGAACATTTTTTTCGATTCTGAATCATTGTGCAGTGAGAAGATTGACACAGATTTGAAATATTACCAAATAAATATGTGCCCATCCCTTAAATCTCAAACTCTTAATGCCAGAAAGGATTGAAAAAGGAATAGCTAGAAATGTAAAGAGTACTTAGATCAACTGCATTCCGTTATTTCATCTCATCTACTTTTCATTACTTTATTTTATTAGGATTTTATTTCCATTGTACTCGTAATTCAACTTTTTTCCTCTTACTCGATATCTCTTTTATAGCCATCTATTATTCTGTTTAAGGATTATTCTGGCATTATTTATTTCCTCGATGTTTTTTAACAACTTTATTGAAAAGTTTGATTTTTTTTTTCTACGGACGGGTTGTTGAAGTAGGATTTGAATTAGATTGGACTGGTTTAATTCCAATTTTGGTGATTTTTTCCTATGACGACTGATCCTGAAGGTGTAAGGCAATGTCTGTTGTAACGCAGGAGGTTGAAAGCAGCGTCTAATTCAGATTTAAGGATCAGGTAATGTGCAACAATAAGATATCAGCCTAGGCAATAGAATAGAATAGAATGTAATGTAGGGTTTTGCTAATAGCAAAAGCGGCACTGCGATCGATGATCTGTTGTACCATCCCAAGTCCCCTATGTTAGAATTCCGATGTCCTTAATGAAGCCAATAATGTCCTGATAATGCTGCTTATTTATATCCTCATCATTCAAGTAGTCCTCATCAAAATGCTTGACACGTTGTACTCGTAATGCTCTGCATTTACAAAGAATATGAGTGATTGTTTCCTCATTTACCTTACAAAACCTGCAAATTTTACTGTTAGACAAATTCAATTTAAAAAGAAAACTATTGATACTCATGTGTCCTGTCAAAGCACCAATTAAGATGCTAAGATCTTTCCTTGGTAGTCTGAGAGCATCAGATATTTTGTTCTTATTTTTAGGACCAAGAAGTCTTTTGGCTGTCATGGCTCCTTCCTCTAAATTCCAGATACGAAAATGCTGTCTCTCCATCCATTCTCGTATGTTTGACTTCAACAAGCCAAACCCATAGTACGTCGACTTGTCATAATCTTCCTTGTGTACTGCTTCTTTAGCTAATTGATCAGCTATTTCATTACCTTCAATACCACTGTGTCCAGGTATCCACTTTAGGATGACTTCATTTTCTTGCCCCAATGCTGTTAAACAAGAAATACAATCAAGAACTGTTAAAGACTTCACAACACAATTGTTTAAAGCCGTCAAAGCTGATCGACAATCTGAAAGAAAGCAAATTCTACAGCCTAGGCAAACAAAAAGACTCAAAAATTTCATACAATACTCAAAAGTGCTCCGAAATGACAACAAAGAAGCACAAAAGACGTGCAAAAAAATTAAATATTCTCTTTAATTAACTTAATGCTTCTGTAATTGAGTAAAACACAAGAATTAATTAGCTTTGTAAACATTATTCCAATTTTAAGCCAGCACAAAGAAACAGCATAAAAACGGGAAGAACACAAAAAATTATTCACCAAAAACGTTTATTTCCCTTTGTGAGCAATTTTTCTCCCTTATTTTTTTTTGTGGCTTGATAAAATTAATTTAAATTCACGCTCACCCTAAAGCTTATGCAACCAGCATTCATTAAGCTCAATTTCTGAATTTAATTGAGCAACGCTTCATATTTATTCTTTTTTGTTGCACTTTGTATGGTGAGCGTGTAATTATCACACACACACAAAAATATGAGTTAAATTAATTTGGTTTTAAAAAATAATTATGGAGTGTTAAAATTGTGATAATTATATGGATAAGTTTGGATATGAGGGTCAATTTTGGAGGTTGGAACGTCTTTTGTATGTTGTTGCTCAGTTTTGTTAAAACTTATTTTTTGGTACACTTTTTTGGGAGAGGAGGGGGGGGGGGGGGGGGATGGGGAATCGAACTTGAGCTGGGATTATATATTCTAGGAAATTCAGCTTGTTCTACCAGAGTTAATTCCAGGGATTGGTTTGGGGTTAAACTCCTCATCAAGAAATTGTCATCAGTTTTGAATAATCTTCTGCTTTTCTCAACATTTTCTGGCTACAAGCTTGTTCATTTATGACATCAATGCAAGAAAGCTTCGACTTTACCGAATTGGCAAGCTTTAAATGTTCTGTCGATCGCTCTCAACCAGCATCCATACTTACAAATTAAATGTCACTTCCTCACAAACATCCAGTTTCACTCTAGAAAGTTCATTAACTCTGCAACAACGTTGTTGAATGGTCGATGGACTTTTTATTTTGCATGACATTTCTTTCCTGTGGGTGACATCAAGTTGGTCTAGAATTTCATTCTTTAGCACGATGTGCAAGATTCTTGAAGAAGCCAACGACTTAATTGTTTTTTTCTTGCAGTCCTAACGCATCTCTCCACAAATTAACAGGAATTAAGAGAGAAATTTCAATTTCTTGACAATGTGAAAGTTTTGGTTTTTTTTTGCTTGAAAAGAATGGAAAAGTTTTTAATTTTGTGGAAAAAAGGAACGAAACTCACGTCCATCAAGAACAGCAAAAGAATGAAGAACTGAAAAAAGTGTTGCTTGTTAAAAAATGTAATTGAATTAATTGAACTTTATTTACTCTCAATTCGTGACTATCTGAAACAAAAATGAGACTTTTAAGAACGACAAAGTTAAAGGAGTATGAGTAAGGATCAAACCTTTTAATTCAAATAAAAACGAAAAGCATTTATTATAAGTTGCTAGGTGAATTGTATTTAAATACTTTGTAATCGGATAATAAGGATTAATAAAATGATTGTCAACAAAGTCCTTCTCGGAAGGATAATTGAATGGATTTGTTGCTTTGAAGCAAGGTGTACAAAAGATAGAAGTTCAGGTTTTAAATTCAAATTTTGAAGCTATTGAAGATTGAAGATTAGAGGTTGTTTGGATATCGAGTTGCCCATTTAAAGTACAAGTCCGTTAATCGAATAGAAATCTGGCACCAAACTTGCGTGACTCTGACATGGTGCTGGATTTAAATCGAAGCTAGTACAATGCTAGATTCACACCGGCTTGGTGCCAGATATATGTATGATCGATTAACCGACTTGTGCCATTGGGGTTAAAAACTAGTAAGAATTGAACTCAAGTCTTTAATAAAAATTCAAGGAAAGAATTGTTAAGGCTTAGCTATTTAGACACAGAAGTCTTTTCTTTCCTGTTGGCAGATTCGACTACATTTAACTTGAAGCCTAAAGAGTCCATAAATCAACAGCACTGATTTTAATATCCGTCCTTAAAGATTTCGATCTTAGCTACTCTTAACATCTAAATATAAAGCAACTCCTGAAAATTTGAATATAAATCCACAAGCATAGACAAACCGCTTCTAATCCAATCACAAAACACAAAAGCATCAAATTCCTCAGCAGTAAGCAGAACCAAAAAAGAAATCTATAGACACTGACAAAAGAAATCTTTTCTTCATCCACATCTTCTCTCATTTCACAGCAAAATGCAATTATCGTCTTACAGTTACTATTCTATGTGACATTCGCCATGGTCTTCTTGAAAGCTCAATGGTTGTATTCGAGCAGATAGTTGAGAATAAGAAGAAAGGAAAACAGGAGAGATTTACGATGAATTTAAAATGACATTGCTATTGAATGTGAACAATTGAATAAAATTTATTGCGCTGCACTTTTATGTCTTACATAATTCATTTTCATTCTCTAATTCAGCATTACTTACACACACTTGCTCCTACATCCATACATACACATTCATACAATTCAACTTCCTTCCTTCCTTTTCCACTTACTCGCATTTCTAGTTTTTTTTTTGTGTTTGAAAAATTTCTTTGTTCTATACATTTTATTTTCGAGTCCCATAACGAGTGCTTGGCTGCATTAAATGAGCAGTCTACTGACGCTTATTGAATGGTGTGGAACAACACGAAGGAAATCGGCTACACTGCATGCATATGAATAGCCTCGTTCGATGTTATCCCTCTGCCATGTGATTGTCCATGTGATTTGGCTTGAGATGTCGTGACAAATGACATATTCACTTTGGATTTCCGCTAGAGTCAAGTATGGATTGTTGACACCTGAAATATTTATAGACATTAAATAATGGATGACTGAAAAGAATTGGTAATTATTGGGATGCATTTAAAGAGTCACAGCATGAATGGAAATTTAAATTGCGAAAGAGAATGGAACTGATTGGATGGACAATACAAATCAGTGTACGTGATGTTGTACTGGGATTATTGATGATAGAGAATTTTGTATCGTGATCAAAGCAATGGAGATTTGTAGGAAAGTGCTAAGATGTATTGAAAATAGCATTTTGGATTGTTATTGATATGGGTCGTTAATAAATGATGTTCAATTTTGAGGAGAGGGGGCAGAGGGGGCAGGGAGTCTGACAGGTGTTTGACGTGATTTCAAAAAATTCTTAAAGATCGAGAGGTTTTAAGATTCCACTTTTTGATCGACGTTATTTATGGATGACCCCACACCAAATAGCAGTGTATGTAGTATCCACCAACTTAGCATCAGCTAGTATGAGCTTTTCAATAGTTGAGATTAAATTCGACGACTTATTGTAGTCCCTCATTTGCTACATTTTACACTAACGGCTTATCCACAGAATTATGCTTTATTCTTTTACTAAATTAGTATTTTATGCTACTTTCAATTAAATCACAAACTAGGATCAAAATTGCTCTAGGTCTTCTGTTCTAATCTGTACCCATAAATCGCGTTAAAATTGACAATTTGAAGAATTTGTTCACACTCAAGGACCCCTCCTTGAGGGGGGGGGGTGGTAAAATTAATTTCAAATGAAATAAGGGAATGATCTCTAATACTTTCTGCATGATCATTTCCCACGATGCAAATTAACTTAATCAGCATCAAATTCACTCACCAATCAACACAATTCCTGAATTATCAGCATTATTAACAAGCATTTTGTAATAAAGTTTAGGCGCTGGAATCTGATTAGTTCCATTAACCGACAAATAAATATCAAACTGTGCATTAGAAGCATTCTTCAACCGTAATCGTCCAAATGTGCCTGTATAAACATCCAAATCGATTTCTCTTGTTGCAGCGAGTTTTCTGCAAGGTCAGAAAAAAAATAATTTTTTTATGGCGACAATTTTTGCGTCAGTAGAAGAAATAATTTATCTACCTCGAATAATCCTCAACAGCCACCCAGTTGAGTGCATTAAATTTCTGCCACTAAATTATAATAATAAATTTAAAATGTCTTATTTCATTTCCACAGACATTCCTTTTTTTTGCAAAATGTGCTTATTTTATTCATACCTGCGGTGCTACGTTTATAAAATACATCGTCGCTGATTGTTGATTACCGAAAATGAAATCAGCTTTTGCAGCCAAGTGACCGCGAGCTAGAGATAAGTGGAAGAATAATAAAATAATAAAATTTTAAGACAATGAAAATGGAAATGAAAAATGTTTGGCTTTACTGACCCATAAAGAAGTCGTTGGTGGCATGAATGTAAGTATCAGCACAGGATTGACAGTTAAGAATTTTAGCGATTGTGATGCGTTGGGTGGTTCTTGAGTATAAGTTGTCAACATTCTTGGTTCCGAAAAATCCTCCTTGGTACCAGCCAGTTCGGTCAAAACCTTAAAAAATTTTTAAAAGACTTCAAATTTTGATGTTTAAAGTTTTGAGTAAGAAAGCCTGATTTGTTCGATTTTTTAGTGCAGGGACAGTATAGCATAGCATAGGGAGGCTTGGGTCTTAGTCATGGGAGCTCATGTTAAGGAAGATCAAGATAAAATACTCTCGCTACATCCATGATAACGATGGACCAGTTTATAAGATCACATAGAGTGGCTTAGCTTGTCACAGTCAAGCCATATTCATAACCCAAGGTATAAAACATTGATACAATCCAAGGGCACCCTAGGAAGGGCTAGAATCCAATTCTTTATATTTTAAATGCAACCTACTATGTTCATGAACCTCCCTAGCTCAACATCCAATGGAAAAGTATTACTCTTTTGAACTGACTGTAAACACTTTATTTTTTTGGCTACGCCCCTTCTCTTTGTTATTTTATCAACGATGTCATCAATGTAGAAATAAATCTAATCAGCACTTGAGTCTATTTTAATATCTGCTCATTTTCTCATTTTTTCCCACACGAGCTATTTTAATCAATCATTTTTTAATTTAATTTTAAAAAGATAGGAGTTATCAAAGCATCATAAGTGCTACTAAGTTCTACTGGTAGGCTGACTAGATTCTCTTGACAAATGACATCTTGATAACTTTTAATCTTTACTCTGACCTTGTACCTTGACGTACATCTCAGCTCAACCCGTTTCCCATCTTGACTAAACCCCTGCCTTTAATACGAGGCATCCCACAAAAATCAATGATAACTTACCTGATTGAAACTTTGAGTTTGCTGGCGAGAATCTATGTTTGGTGTAGTAAGTCTCCTCTGTAACTTTATCGTGACATACTTCTAATACTTTCATAAATCGAGAGGTATCAACTTGATATCCAACTTGAACCAAATATCCATTATTGTAGCATCGACCACCAGTTTCTTTTGCTATATGACTTGGATAAGCCTTACACATATAGTTATTAAAAGTCATTGAAAATCCACTCCATGTGAATAAATTTCCCGATGTACAATTGACTCGAATTAAAGTCGCAGTTGTAGATGGCGACGTAAATCCAGTTTGGCAGTAAAGTTCAATTTGGCTGTTCAATCCCAATCGAATAATACCATCGGCATCAACTGGCTCGTAAAAGGATGATGTACCGGGGTGAATGAGTATTGGTTGAGGCTCACCGAGGCCACCATTAACGTTGATTGTGCACTGAGCGTGAACTTAACGAAAAACAAAAAAAGTATTAATGAATTTTAATTAATTCCTTTATTTTTTCATGTGCAACCTGCATGGCAATTCCAGAGACACAGAACAACCGCAATTATCACGAGTTTATTATTCCACATATTGATTGCTGTTTGTTTAAACTCAAAAAAGGCTACCTCGGAGCTGTGGGGAATTTTTTTATCACTAACAAACGATGTGAATCGGTCAAGTTAATGACTGAAAATTAACAGAAAATATTTTTTAACAGCTTTATTTATAGACTATATCAACCACCAATCAGATTTTGTGGTGCTTTGTCTTATCGTTGAGTTGATAAGGCTGTTGAAGTAGCTGATTAATTTTTGGCAAGTTATTTTGTGAACGTCATTAAGGTGTCGATGCTTGCTTGATGAGAGGGTATTAATATGGATTTGGTGGTGTTGTGGATTAGTATTTTGGTATTCTGAATGCATCATACGAGATTTTATACAACAAATTGTGAAATTTGAATTAAATCTATTGGAAATTGAGCTAGTGACAGGCGGTAATCATAATTTGGAACTGATTTTAAATTAGATTATTATAAAACTTATGCATATGCATATTGACTCTAGGTTTGTCGGAATAGAGTTAAATCTAGGTCAGTGGTGTCCAACCTTTTTTGTGCCACGGCACACCTTGGTGGTAAGCTATGATTAAAACTGCACAAGGTATACGATTTGTATAGTTTTTGAATATGTTTGCAGCACATGGGTTGTCCATCACTGATCTAGGTCATCGACTCATATGTAGACGAATCTGCAAATGCGCGTATAAGGTGTCATGCAAAAGATCGTATCTACCGAAACGTGAGTTCGATTCTTAGCAGCAGCCAATCTCTGAATCATTTTACATCATAGACTCTCGACATGGACTCGTATCATGCTCTCAAAGTAGCTATGACACATGTGCTATAGTAAGCAATTGATCCTTGAATCGATAACACCAAAAAAATCTTAATCGTATTTTTTTCTGAAATTAAAGTGTAAAAAATCAAAGAATCGTAATGGTTTTTCCAGATGCTACACCTCCAAAAATATTTAATAACATTATTTCGTCTTTAATCAATCATTTGTGGCACTCGAACAAATCACGTTTTTAGTTTTACATTATCACACTTTTATTGGAAGTCATTGATAATAAATAATAATTTATCAACAAAAAAATTTCCTCTTGGCAGTTCTTTATTATTAGTTTTGATTGTGGAATTTATGGCGCGATAAATTATTGTGACGATTTTTTTTTTATTTTAAGATGAGTTTCTTGAGTTTTGAGTGGATTAGGAGGTACAAAGACATTATATGCTATCGGAAATGAGGAACTGTTGGAAGTTTTTAAGTAGAGCTGCATTATCGATAATACAAAAGATACTTTTAATAACAGAATATAGTTTAAGTTTGCATTCTGTCAAGCTTCTTAACAACCCCCGAATGCTCAGTGGTAAGAGCATGCGACTGGAAATCGTAAGGACGAGAGTTCGATTCCCAATCCGAGCAAGTTGTTGGCAAGTTTAAGTTTTTCTCCCAAATATTCAATATCAAGTTTTAAAACCAAGTTTTAACAGGATCATATTGTCTCCAGCTCAACACATTGATCCACAGAAACCTTCTTATAGTATTAAAGCTTTTCAGATTTCATTAAGACTTTCAAACCCGATTTTCCTTAATTTTCAAATAGAAGCTTAAAAACTTCTTATTAAAATCATTTCAATTTATCTGCACAAAGCAATGCGGTGTCATATCACAACAGCACTTAAATCAGCTTTGTTCAACAATCCTTTTGTGTTTGTATTGAGTACCAATCAAGAAAATTGCGAGAGATGAAAAGTGTCAATTACTCAAAACTATTCTTCAATCTGCATTGCCGAATGTTTGCACAAAATTTGATGCAATTGACATAAATCTATAAGATCCTTATAGGAATCAATTTCTCAAACAATCGAGTAAATATTTGATTATATTTACGCTCATTAGTTTTCAAAATGGCATTATCATGTCAACATAATCAACTGTATTTCAACCACAATAAGTCTGTTCATTAAAATAATTAGTTGAAAATAATTTCAATGCTCTGTGGTTTGCACAAAAAATAAATCCTAACAATGCTATGGAAATAATTGTTAAGCTACACAAATAAAAATTCAATATGGTGATTTATTAATAAACTCATTGACATAAATTATTATTTAACTTAATTAATTAGATCAACCAGATGATGATAAAATTATTCGTAATTGTTTCAAACTGCCTTTTTTTTTGTTTGGTGCTAATTAGGGGTTGCTAGCTTTTATGAATGATTGTAGTAGTATTAAGGCATTCAATTTAATATTAAATATTGAAATAATAAGTTCATTTACCTGTAATTAATTAAATAATCCCTAGCTGTATGTGTTGTCTAGGCTGCAGATTCATCATTAACAACACAAGCTGCTGTCACTTTCCTAAGTCAACAACTTCTTTATTTGAATTCCTTTTAAATGTGGAACTTGAACCAAAAAATCATTAACATTACATGCATAACAATATCCTCTCTTGACTTCCTTTTTCTTCCATTTAATGTACTTTATTTTGTCTGAAACATCCTCACAAATAACATAATCTTCTTCAATCTCATCGATTGTTATGTGAACATTATTCGCACAGACTAAAGCAATTCCTGAATTTTCTTTCGAGTTGATAAGAATCTTGTAGAAAAGTTTTGGAACTGGGATCTGTTTGTTGTCCATATCAAGATAAATATTTTCTTGTAGACCTTTTGAGTTGCTCATTGAAATGACACCATGTGTTCCAGTGTAGACATTTAATGTGATGTTACGATCAGCACACAATCTTCTGCTGCCATCCTCAATAGCTCGCCTGATAAAAGAAATAAGGAATGATAATTTCAACTTTAAAGACTATCTTGATGACCTGAAAATTAGCTTTAAAAAACTTTAAAACTTAACTCTCACTTAATTAGGATCCATTTACTCTGCTAGCATAGTATATACATTAGCAGCTTATTATCTGTATAACTATAATTAGAGCGGTTCACTAATATCCCCGTGGCACTTAAATGATACCATAATCACCCCCAAATGTACATGCTAATATTATTATGTCTCACTAATCTACAAAAAATTATTTTGCTCACCAATTCATGCTGTTGAAGCTCTGCCACTGGAAAAAGTGAAAATGAAAAATTTTAAAATGATTTTTAGGAGAAATGAATCCAGCAACTTAGGAGTGAAAGGCCGTTGTCTATAGATAATTGAGGCACCTTTCTGAGAATCGTATATCGACCCCCTTTTCCCCCGTTGTTACAAAATATGCATGAAAATAAATTTCTTTTATTGGAACCGTGACAGCAACTCAAGACCTCCAATTTTTCAGTTTCAGACACATTAAATATTTGAAAAAAATTTCACGGAACACTATCTGTGTTCCTTCGGATGTTATCTTTTCGTGTTGCACCTAAGATTTTTTAAAAGAATACTAAAGTTTCGAGCAACATAGTTTGAGAAACACTGTCCTAATGTTAGACTGCATTTATGAATCGTTCCTTTCAGATATGAACACAATCTGATTGCAAAAAGGGGAAGACACCCAAGTAAGAGCTTAAAATCAGGCTCTATACCATGCTATGCTGTCGTATCTACGGTAAAAGGACATAAAATGAACACAAACCCTTGGAAATTCAGATCAAATAAGCTTCATCAATGTGCTAGGATATTTTACTCCTAATGAGAGTTTCATGAGTGAGGATTCGCCAGACTACTGTACACAACATTAAATTAATGATACTGCTGTGTCTGACCAACAAAGGAAGACTGTGAAATTCGGATTTGGTACATCTAATTTGAAGGAGATCGATTCCGTATGACAAGTGTTAGATCTTTGATCCATTTTCAGGCAAATGATTATGCTCACTTGTCTATTAGGGATCGCTGTGTCGATGGTATACTAGGCACCGACATATTAATCCATTCTGGCTGACTCAATGTTCAATGCTTTAGCTCACCATTAAATTGAATTTCAGATCTAAATACGTTCTGACTTCAACAGAACAGAATCATCTGTATTTCATTAGCAATTCATTAGCTGCATCCACCGATAATAAACTATAGTTCTGCATTAAAATGATCCTCAAAGGACATCCAAACCCTTAATACCTCAACGAAACTGCATCAAATACAAATCAGAATCTCATTTTACCTGTGGTGCAGCATTAATGTAGTAGAACGTAGCTCGCTGCTCATTTCCATAAATAAAATCACCCTTTGCAGCCAAATGACCTAATTACAAATTAATTAAAAGCAGAAGTAAGGAAGGAAACTGAATGAGTTAGAGTTATAGAAATGAATAAAAAAAATTATCTAATAAATATCCATTACCTCTAGATAAATATACATTACTAGCATCCTTCTTCAATAATACATCCGTCCCAATAAATTCTGATATAATTTTCCGCTGATGCTCACGGCGATATAATAAATTGATATCTTTTCCGGGAAAAAAGTTAGATTGGATGAATGATGGTCGCTTTATGCCATGCTGCGATGCTTCATTTCCCGGGGCCAGCCTATATTTTACATAATAAGTTTGTTCACTGATTGGATCATGGCATAAAGTCATCGTAATTAGAAATTTATCGTCCACATCAAATCCAACATCAACCAAAGTCGCATTGTTATAGCAACTTCCATGAGTTCGTCGACGTGCTGAATGCTTTGGATGTTTTCGACATGAGAAATTATTAAAAAATCTTTCACCATCATTCAATTGTATGTGACCATTGTGCGAGCATTTGATGTATACTGAATTACCATTGATGGTTGTTGGATATGAAAAGCCAGTCGAGCAAAAAAGTTGAATTTTTTCGTTTCGTCTCATTGTGATTATGCCTGTACGCTTGGTTGGATGAAAGAATTCTGATGTATTCGGGTGGATGAATAGGGGCTGATTCCGATAGTCGCCATCACTGCCACCCATCTTAGCATTCACATCAAGTTGACATTGCGATTCATTGTCTACAGGTGAACATTTGAGAAGGGTTGGATAAATTTTAGTTCGTGTATATATTGGAATGGCATTAGTATGAGTAAACGAGACAGTCAATGCTTAAGAATAAGGAATGTAATATCGATATTTTCAATGAGATTACTCGTGGATCATATTATATATCCTCAATTGACTTTGTCACGAGTCACAAGTTGGATGAAAAATTTA